GGTCATTATGGGGTACTGAGTGTAGATTAATGGGAAAAAAAATGAATTTGAATGATTGTAGTATCAGGCTGCAACATAACAAAATGTGAAGGGGGTCTGAATACTTTCCAAATGCACTGTATATAGTATAGTGAAGAGCTGTACAAATTAGGGCTACGTATAGCTCAAAAGCCTTGGATAAACTTTGAATATAAACAGAAGAGGTATGTAGAAGTATTGTATATCTGCCCGGAAGGTAAACATATAACGCATCAACTATATTTCAATTACATGTAAGAATATAAATTGAAATTAAACTTTATCCTAGTCCCATCCACTAATTTTTGGAGTGTAACCCATGGTCTGGTAAAAATTATGCAGCCTGGTGTAAAAAATGAAGTGAGCAACTCCTTTGCACTTCCACATTTCCCAAAAGGTGACCTACAGCGTATAGTGACTGAACCATCATAGATCTACTCTGAGTGGGATGCCCAAACTCATTTCCAGCAGGATTTTGGGAGGAATTAGTTAAATCCACAATAGCAATGTGGCATTGTAGAATTTATGGGAGGGTGGGTGGGTAAAAAAATAAAGAAATAAAAAAAAAAAACAGCTTGTAAAAGTCCTAATATGGTAGAAGTCCTATTTATTGAAAAAAAATTAATATATTTGCTATAAAATCTGTAACAGTAATGCAACTGGATACTTATTTTCAGATACATAACCCTGAATGTTACATACCAAATACAATACAGTAACACTGCCTTCCTCTTTATTTACACATTTATGAAAATTGATATGCGATCCATGTTAAAGGAACTTAGAATGGAGAATAGTTACATTAGAAAAATAATATTCTGCATAAAGCATTCTCAAAGAATCCAATCACATTTTTTTCAGGCCTCTAGCAATAAGGCAAAAGTCCCTGGTATAGCAGATAACTTAATTTACAAAATACAATAACTGTTCAAACACATCTTCAAGTTTGCTTTTGGTATACTTGTTCTCACTATGAAATCATTTTTGTCTTCTTACGAAACGGAAAGACTCTTAGGTATGGAACTGGAGGAAGATCTACCACATCATACACAGACATTGCTGGAGCTTAGTAACCAAGAATTCTTCTTCCAGTTGGCTCAAGTGAGCTAATATTAGAAGGAGTGTATTTTAAATAATGATATCATTATGATTGTAGAATTGTTTTTGAGTTTTCATAGGAAACATTTCAGGAGGGCTTTTTTTTTTCCTTTTTGTTTTGGAACTGGCACACAACTACATTTTCACAAGAGGACATCACAAATGCAACTAAAACCAGGTTTGGAGCACTTTGGAAATGTATAAGCCAAACCTAATTCTCCTCCTTTAATACTTCAACTCGCCTCTGCCGTCGTGGTCCATAACATTTTCTCCCCATATAGCTCTGATCCAACCAAAGTCAAGTTGTTTTAATTCCTTCGAAGGCACAGAACTTCCACCTTTTCTCCAGCGTTGCTCCAACACCAGAAAACTCTTGCTTAAACATGCGTGGAAGCCTCATCAAAAGCATTTCTATTTCATTCGCCGAGATCTAGGGAAGGATAAACAAAAAAATACAGGAGACATTTCTGTGATTTCAAGACTAACAGGCAAGATCAATTTTCCTAGCACCTGAGTTATTGTATAAAGCCATGAGTACCATTTTTGAATTTATGTTTCACTTAAAGATGTCAACAAAGTTCTCCAAGAAGGACTTGGAGGGCTTATGAAAAGCTGGCAAAAACAAGAAGTAACTGTTGCAAGCTTTCATGTTATGCTACAGATTAATCAATATAAGCAGAATAATTCTTGAGAGGGTTTCAATTCCAAAAGATCTCTCTGCCATTCCATAGGTGGGGAAAGAAAGTAGTTGCTCTTCCTCCCTTTTAGTATTTTCATTGGTTACTCTTGACAACGTAGGAAAAGGCTCTTGGTAGCATGGGGAGTGATGCTCTCTGTAAGTGAAGGCTGGTAGGTATGGGAAAATGCATTTCCATCCTTCAGGGCTTTAAAAGTGATCCAGGGGATGAGCAGAGGAAAAAGAGCTTGGACCATTTGCCAGTCAACATTGTAAGCAAGAGACGGTTAGCTAACCATCTCTCTCAGCCTTTTTTCTGTTGGGAAACTGAAATAGCAAGAACCAGAAAATAAAGATCTTGGGAAGCTGGAGCACATTTCTAATCAGTGCCCCAAGGAGATGCAGGTTAACTTGTGACCCATCCAGCTAAATGTATGGAGATCTTCCAAGTGCCTGATAAGGCTATGTCCTGTGAACAACCTTCGGAGTTTATCAAACTCCTGAACATACAGCTGGTGGAGACCCATGACATTATGGATGCTACCAGAGAGGAGACAACAAAGATAAAAAATAAGCAAGGGGTAACAAAGATGATGGTCAGACTACTCAAGGTATTAAACCAAAATGCGGGCTAAGATATATCAAATGCATTGGTTAATTGTTGTAAAATGAAGAGAGAAGAGGGGAGTGTCCAATTACATGACCAGATTTTGGTCCCTTAATGATGCAGCTAGCATTCAGTTTGTACTAGCCTTGAGAAATGCATCACTTAACTATTTCCCCTTCATTTTCTAAAATGCCTCGAGAAAGAATTTCTGCTTGATGCTGGCAGAACAGCAGAGAACTCTGTGATCATTCTGCCGAACGCCCATCATGGATAAATGCTGATTGCTTGGCCATATTTTTCCCTATTTCAAGTAACATACTGAGTGAAATTGTGTTCACATTTATTGCCTTTCCTGGACAGAAGCCTTTACCCTTTTTGTGTTCAGTGTTTCTCTTGGAAATTCTAGTAGGAAAGACCGATCAACAATATTAATAACATCACCTACTGTCTATGGAATAATGGTTGTGCCTGAATTCTTATTTTGTTGCAAAAGACACATGTCTCCGAAACACACATTTTCCTGAGGCATAGTTCGCAGTTGGAACAACAAGAAGAAATACTCATAGTATTCATCATAATAAAAAAATGTGGATAACAGTTTCACAGTAACCTACAAATGAACTTATCTAAATCTAAAATCAAGATAAAATCTGCCAGGTAACTAAAGATTTATATATTGGAATTGGAGGACCGGGGAAATGGGTGTATTTTCAGTAAACCTTTCATACTCAAATTTCCAACTGTTATTCTGTTTTAGCTAAGAGCAGTGTAAATTGGCACATATTTTTATTTGCACATGTTTTTAGGCTTCTGTTAACTTGGCTTCAATAAATCTTGTCCTCTAACTTCTGCTTTATTCTTCAAACTCATGGAAACTTCTGAGAACTCCTCACTTCTGGAAAATTTACTGACAGTGAGACAAGGAAGTAACAGAGGCTTTTGCCCAAGCCAACATTTTTACCAAGTTATAGATAAACGATCTGTTATGCCCTGGATTTAAATACAGTAAGGAATGAATGGCTGTAAAATGGTGGGAGTGGATCAGATAGCTCCATGGAGGATACCATATGAATCCTCTTAATCATATTCAGGATAATTTAGGATTATTTTTCTCCAGGAATTTTTTTTAGCATCAATAAAAAGCAGGAACCAGGGTCTAAAGCAATTTTATTTGCATTTTGTGAATAAGAAGGAAATTGGAGAATCTGCTGCCCACATTATCTCATTTTTTCTTGACTTCAAAACGTAACAAAATTATAAATCTAATTTACCCTAGAGTCCAGTTGCTGCATATATGACCAAAGATATTCAATATTAGCTCCAAAAGGATGAACATGAAGGAATGTTGATATGATACCTGCATTAAAATAAAATTAAAAAAAACCTGTGATCAGTTCTTTAGACAAAACAGAATATGACAAAATGATTATTGTACATAAATGTATCTGAATTTCATTCAAAAGTCAGCACTTATGTTTCTGAAGCAATTCACCAAGAAGATGCATTTTAACCCAAACCCTTGCTTTCAAGAATGATAAAAGTTCATATCCAAGTGACCAAGAGAAAAGAAGGAAAACTAATTAAATTAAAGACTTTTTGGAAGCATTTTTTGCAGATTCCAATGTTATGCTTGATTTGCCAATAAAAATTGTAGGCATTTGAATAATAAAATTCTTGCTTTTCTCTTCTTTGGTGGCTCTTGTTATGAACATGTGTTGACTATCAACCACATTCAGAATTAGCCTGCCTTGAATTTTCTTAATAAAAGAAAATTATTTCAGCATGGGTTGTATTTAATCCAGATTAGGGAGCAAACAAAACCACATTTTGCCATTTGTATTTTTCCATTTTGAAAACGCCTTGCAGATAAGCTGATCTCATGCAACAAATAGAAACTAACATAGATGACCAAAGACTTAAAGGGAAAAAAATTGATCATAGCTTTCTTTCCCATAGGTAAACTCTGCCTCTCTTTGCAAGAAATGACGCACCTGGAGATACAAAGATTTTTCTTCAAGAAACTAGTTATGGTCTTACAATCTGATATGGCTGCTCTTCCATAATTCCCTGAAATTAAGTTTTGTGTCTAAATTCATAGCTTCTCAAATGCAATCAGGTTTCCTTTCTGATTTCTCTGGAAGAATAACTTATTGGCACTCTTTTCTGTTCTGTCTGGCTTCAAACCATAACAGAAGAAAAAGGAAGGGATTCCTGAATGGGTGACTTGATTGAGGAGGATGTTTTCTTCTGGAAATCAGGAATAGACCTCCATGATGGTCATGTTAAAGCTTCTTTCCCCTCCAATCTGCTGGTAGAAAAACCAGCAAATCACTCTCCCAAACATGGGAGTGGGATGAGGTTGGGCAAGCATAGAAAGATGCTTAGAATGACCAGTTTAAGCAATCCTCAACTTGCCCACCTCACAGGTATGGAGAGGTGCATGGAGTGAAGTGGGAGGGGGAGCCTTGATGCTCCTGTGCAGTGCAACTCTTTTTCTGTGCCTGTGACCTGTCAGCCAGACTATTTCTAAACATAGATCTAGTGCTGTTCTGAAAGAACGCTAAACCCATAGCCCAAAGTGGCCTGGTGGACAGGCATAGAGGAAGGGTGAAGTGGGAGGTAATAATTATTCAAAGTTCTGCAAGGGAATGGCAGTGCTAGCAAGAAGTGTCTACAAAATCTAGTTCTGATCATATGGAAAAGTAGCCAATGGATAGCTACTGAGAACATACAACTGGCCTGGAACAGTCTTCCTCATGACCTACAGGGCCACCAAAGCTGGACTGAAGTGGCCCTATAGGTCACTACTGCCTATAGACACTACTGCCCCCACCAAAGTAATAAAACATAGTTAAAAGTATAGTCAAGCATTAGAAGCAGTGGAAAAAGTTCCTGTGCAGAAACTACTTCCAGCTTTTGCAAGTTGCAGAGGAGGCTAAGAAGCAACACATTTCTCATGAAGCCAAATCAAACCTGCCTTTACAAGCATAGCTGAAGTATCAGGAAACATGGCAAAGGAACTCTTGAAGTTGCTCATTAACAAGTAGTTGATGTAAATGATAGCCATCAATTCTAATTCAGTATGTATGCATTTTAGGCACATGAAATCCAGATTCAAAATGGGTCATTTTTGAGAGATCCTGTGTCTTTCCAAAATGAATTAGGTTTCCCTGGCAGCTACAAATGACCAGGACATGACAACCGACATCAGTCATCTTTTTTCATGATTGAACATATCCATTTCCCTTGACTTACTTTCTAGTCTTATCTTCCTCCATATTCATTTGGTCAGGCTTCTTCCCCAGCAGATTGGACTTGAAATAATTAAAACTTCTCCCTTTTCACCCTTTCTTGACCATATATAATTTTATAAATCTCAATCATGTCTCCTCACAAGGATCTTTATTCTACGCTAAATAGCCCTGACCGCTACATCTTCTCCTTATACAGAAGGTGTTCAAGCCCCTGATCATCTTAGTTGTCCTTTTCTGCATCTTCTCCAGCTACATGATATCCCTTTTGAAATGTAGCAACCCGACTTGTACACACTGTTCTAGATGTGGTCACACCCTAGATTTAAAGAGGGGCGTTATAACATTGGCCCTATTTTCTCAACAGGGAGCAATCACTCAGTCCTTCACAACAGGTAAGCAAGCAACATTGTGACAAACTCTTTACAGTCATATTCAGGATATGATCTTTTCAATTCACACAGTTCATCTTTGCTCCATTGGGCATTACAGATCCCAAGTTCTGAAAATCCCAACGATGGCTACTCTGGATTCAGAGAGCATAACTAATGACTGCTTGGATAACAAATGCGCCCCAGGCAGTAAAGTGGTAGCTTATGAGTGCTCATTAACTAAGGTTTTTGACCTACCATGTCATACAAATGCAGCCAAACATTTGCTTTGAAGGGCTATAAAAATCTTGACAGGTTGCCCATATAAATAAATAAATGATTTCTTTCTTTTGCTTTCTTTGTTTTTCATAGACGGAAAAAGTCAGTGGGAGGACAGATAAGTTTCAGGGTGGTGACAACCTTTATAGGAAGAGAGGTGAATTTCACCTCTGTCTTTGTCTCCCCCAATAATAATATATCCAACATTTTTCAGGCAAAACCAGTTTTTGAGTAGGCATACTAGTTTCGAGTGATAGCTAGATAAGAGGATTTGCATGTGAACTGGCTTTAATTTAATTTGATCAACCATGAACCATTGTGGAGAAAGCAAATTAAAGTTCCACACTAACCATGTTTGCTATCCTCCCTTTGCACTGCTCACCAGGACAATCTCAACATTTTATCTGCAGTCTCAAAATTGTCTTTAATCATGCCCGGGCTTTAGAAGTTTTAGATCTGCAAGGTTCTCCTGTTCAAATCTTCCTCATCTTTTATCAAATGCTTTCTTTCCCTTCGTGGTACATTCAGCAGCACAGAGAAATGTAATATACATCACTGATAATGTTCACACAACCATAGGGTAGGGTAGATGAAAACCTATCTCTTATATTGTTCTTCTTCCAAATACGTTTTGGTTCTAGTACAAAAGTTCACGCACCTGTCCTAGCATAATTGCTTCGTTTTGTAATGGGGCGTTTACAATGTCTCGTATTTGCACAGACTGTGTCACTACAGAATAGAGGATTAGCAGAGCCAGGTCAGATCAAGCTATTTTTTACTAACCAAATTAAACGTAATGCTCCGTGTATGCAACATTTATAGAACACTGTATCCTCATCTGCCCTTTTAAAAATGGTATGTTTCTTCTATGCATGTGCAGCTATGGGTCAAAAACTGGGCAAATGTCCATCTTCCAGGATACGTCCTGAAAATGACTGCCACATTTTAGCAGTTGTGTGAAAATATGCTGCTAGGATTGTAAGTCATTACATCATTAACACTAACTTGCCATTAAACTAGTGGGTCCCATCCTGTAGTTAAGAGAGGATTCATCAGAAGACCGTACATCCATTACAGCAGGTTCCAAGGCACAGTTTTAAAATGCAGCACTTCCTTAAACATAATTGAATGTTTTGGAACGCTTCTGTGAATCTTGTTGCTCTGAAAACCCCTTTCCTGAATCCCTGCAAAAACTGAAATGGATACTTTTGTGGATGGAGCTGAAAATCCTGGAGGAAGTGTGGGGTTAATCAGATGTTCACACCAAATCATTAAGACACACTTGCGATTCTTCCATCAATGGCTACATTTCATTGATTTTTGAAAAAAACGGTTTGGTTCAGAAACATAGTTTTATTTCCTACAGTATCCAACATAACCAAATACAGGGGCCTCCAGCACTTTCTTGGGCTCTCACAAATTGAAATGCAGAATACTTCCAAGGCTGATTATTCTTCTCGAAGCCACAAGCGATATTATGCTTGGAAAAGGAGTACAGAGAGTTGCCTTACCTATCAACAGAGCCTCTTTCTCCGATTTTAGTGGTTGGCTTCGCTTCTCTGCATTTTTTTCTCTGTCTTGGTTGACCAATGGCACTGTCAACCCATTGATTTCCTATAAAGTTTAAAAACAAAACTGAATAAAACAGGTGCTTATGTGGAATACATCCATGTCAATAGGCACTGCTGGCGTTCTTCCTCTATAAAAATAGGACATTACTTTAATTTACTGCTACAGGCAAGACAATTATAAATTATTGATCTGTTTCCCAACACTCTGTAATTCCCAACTGGATCTAAGAAAAAAAGGCAGTTTTGTCTTTCTACCCTCTTAATTGGCTATAGCTGAGAAAGGTCCAGATTGAGCAATAAAGGAGAATTTCTTTATAATCTGCCATTTCTCCAATAAAATTGACATCCACCTTGGATTATTCTAATCTCAGGTGTAGTATAAGCTAATGGATAACAGCATGTACTTTTTTTCTTATTCACTGTTCTTGCAGTAGGAAAAAAAAATTACAGAAAGAAATAATTTACAATCTTGTGGTGAAAATCACCACTTTCCATGGAATGACACATCTTTAGTAAAAAACAAATGATTCCTTTCCAAAACAGCCCAGTGACAACGTTCACTGTTTGCAGAACTCAGCACATACCCTTTGAAAGATGCAGATAATTTCATTAGGGTCAGAAAGCAACTTAACCCTTTGGACTATACTTCATTTGGACCTGACTCCATCAGGATTAAGCCTCAGATGCTTTTATCCAGACCAAAAGTCTGACATAAAGTAAGGATGGTGCTAAATTGTTGTGAGCTTCAGTGTTCACAGGGAACCCACACGCACATATAGTTTAGGGAGTGTTTGTGCAAACACTCCCTAAACTATATGTGCAAATACTTTGACAGAGGTGCTTTGCACCTATCAGGAGCTGCTTCTAAAGATGTTCAGTTGACCTAGAAAAACACAAAGCTGCTTTCCAGATTTGAGGAGAGGTCCTTTGTATGCACACCCACACATTGCAAAGCCTCTCTTTAGAAGCATTTGCACAGTCCTTTGGTTCACGCAATTGTTGGCACCAGAATGCTTGCAAAATACACTAGAGCAAAATGAAGGCAGTACAAATGCAAGTTTGCAAGTGGGTTAAAAGAAAAACCCAGAAAAATGGGTCAGGAGCCAGAAATAAACTGACCCTTTAAAAAACCAGGCTTCCTTAGGAAAATGAAAAGGACCAGTAGAGGGGAATGATCATGGCATCTCACTACAGATGGTCTCCTTTCAAGAAAACGGGTCAGGGAAATTAAGGAGGGAATACACTGAGTACATATATTGTTGTTTGTCAAATGGGCAACAGCCAGTAAGAAGTCCTGTGTAAATGGCATAGGCCTTCCAGGATTGCAGCTGGCAACTATCAATCAAAGTTGTGTGTAAGAGTTGTGAAGCCTAGGGATCAAATCGTTTCTCCTTATGAACTCCTTGGTAGACTTAGACAAGCTAATGTTTTCACAGCCTCAACAATGTAGGCATAAAGATTAATGAGAGATGTCAGCAACCTGGAGATCCCTTGGCAAGCAGCTGCATTTAGGACTGCAGGAAGTTCCTAAATGCCCTTCACTTCCACCAAAACTAGGTGGATCCAGTGAGTAATGGATCAGTCGATATCTGGCTCGTGTCACCTTAGTATTTGTATTTATGCTATTCTGTCAGTTGTTGTTATATTTGTTAAAATTGCTAGAAAACCTTTTTTATTATTCTTTGTATTGGTCTGTTGTCTTGCATGAAACTTTTCCTAACATGCTAGTTCTGCATGTAACTTCTCTCTACACAATTCTTGGTGCAACTATTTAAAGTCTAAACTATTTTAGGATACCTCTTAGTAGGTAGATTTGGGGGTGGAGAAAGGGCAAGAGGACTTTCTTCATATTTTACCTGATCTTTTATCTGTAGGTTTAAATAGTTGGAGAAACACGCTTAGATAACTTAGCTGAGCAGAAATAAAGATATATTAGGATAATCCAGTTTTTCAAAAG